GGGGCCTTATTAACCACGGACCTGGCATTACATAACATCAGCCGGTGGTCCCGGGTCGGAGGGTCTAAGTCTCCTGGGGACCGAGTAGAGACCTGAGGACCGGAGCACCCACAAGCTTGTAAGTAGCGTGTGCGTGCTCCCCTAACTTGATATGGTCCTCTGCTCCCGCCATATCTGCCCCTCCCACTGACCGTACTAAACAAAACTAAGAGAAAAAAATCACATTTTCTAGGCACAAAATAATTCAAACATTTTATAATCTATAACAGTGGTTCTCAACCTGTGGGTCGGGACCCCATTTGGGGTCGATCGACCATTTCACGGGGGTCGCCAAGCAAGGCTGTCCGCCATTTTTTTTGTCCACCATTTTTTCCCCTTTTCCGGCGGGTGCCTTACCTCCCTTGGGCTGGGCCAGCTGGTGGTCGGCCTGCTCCGTCTCTGCTGCTTGCCAGCTATGCCTCGGCCGGCGCAGGGGGCGGAACCACGCATGCGCGGCGCTCCTGGGCAGGGAAAGTCCTCGACTTACGACTGGTTGGGTAGTCCTCGACTTACGACCGGTTTAGTGCTCAACTTACGACCGGTTTAGTCCTTGGCTTACGACCGGTTTAGTCCTCGACTTACGACCGGTTGGGGTCGCGGCATTAAAAAGGTTGAGAACCACTGATCTATAACTTGCAAAATATCAGCAAATGGCTGATTATTACCTGAAGTAAAAGCTAGAAAAGATGTATACTTTCTATAAAAATTCTAAGTACTCTTTGGGGAAGGTTCTTCCAGACTATGTGAGTACAATTCACATACCTTACCACTAGCCAATCCTCAATTTCAGTGAGGAAATGAAAAAACAAAGAAACCAGACTGTTAAGTCTACTTAAAATCTATTTATTCAGAAATGCATTAGCAAATAGCAGATATGGACAAGAAATACAATCATATATTAATCCAGGTACAAGTACATGCAAAGATCAGTAAAATCATACAGGAATGATTGGGGAAGGATCCTATGCACACTGAATCAGTAACAGAATTATAAAATAAACGCTCATTTAATTTCAGATGCGGATTTTTGTTGTCTTAAAACATGTTAATTCATCAAGGCAACAATTGACAACTCTTAATTTAACTTATATGCAGAGCACATCATGAGAAAGGCAGGGCTAGATGAATAAAAAGTTGGAATTAAGATTGCCGGGAGTAATATCAACAACCTAAGATATGCAGATGATACCACTCTAATGGCAGAAAGTGAAAAGGAACTAAAGAACCTCTTGATGCGGGTGAAGAAGGAAAATGCAAAAGTTGGCTTGAAATTCAACATTAAGAAAACCAAGATCATGGCATCCGGCCCTCTCAATTCCTGGCAAATAGATGAGGAAGAAATGGAGGTAGTGACAGATTTTATCTTCCTGGGCTCCAAGATCACCATAGATGGGGACTGCAGCCAAGAAATTAAAAGACACTTGCTCCTGGGGAGGAAAGCTATGGCAAATCTAGACAGCATACTAAAAAGCAGAGACATCACCCTGCCAACAAAAGTGCTTATAGTCAAGGCCTTGCTTTTCCCAGTTGCAATGTATGGCTGTGAAAGTTGGAACATAAGAAAGGCTGAGTGCCAAAGAATTGAGGCTTTTGAACTATGGTGCTGGAGAAGACTCCTGCGAGTCCCTTGGACTGCAAGGCGTTCAAACCAATCAGTCCTAGAAGAGATCAACCCTGACTGCTCTTTAGAAGGCCAGATCCTGAAGTTGAAACTCAAATACTTTGGCCACCTAATGAGAAGGAAAGATTCACTGGAGAAGAGCCTAATGCTGGGAAAGATTGAGGGCAATAGAAGAAGGGGACAGAGAACGAGATGGCTGGATTCTTGTGGAAAACGAAAGAACTCTTACGAATTCCAGAGGGGTTTAGCAGAGAGGTTTATTTGCGCAGGTTCAGAGGCATATGGAGACATGCAATTCTGAACGAGGAGGGCGGGATTAGACTTCAGTTTTATACTATCCTTCTTTCAGGAACAAAGGGACTACACATGGAAATACACATTGTAATACATTTGGATCGTTTTCTCATGGGCATACAACGGAAGGTTTTGCTACATACAAAGTATCTATGTGCAATGCGCATTTGGTTAGCCACGTATTACTGACACAGAACTTTCCCAGTGAATTTTCCCAGTGATTATGCATTACATCATTATTCTAGCAATTATGCAGACAAATCATTAGTCTAGTAATTGTTCATTTTACTACATTAGGATGGAGTCATTGAAGCAGTAGGCGGGAGCTTAAGATGGTAGAGGACAGGAAGGCCTGGAGGAACATTGTCCATGGGGTCGCGATGGGTCGGACACGACTTCGCAACTAACAACAACAATA